TCCTCCCATCTCTTCTCCCCAAAAAGAGGTCTGAAAGGGGAACGGAGAGGTGCAATGCGAACTCCCTGTAGGAAGCCTCAGTCTAAAACCCCAGTCTCTGTCAAGAGGGGAAATCCCCTGACACCCGCAGAATCCTGGCCTTCATATGGCCCCACACACATCTGCTTTAAGGGGTTTACATTCCTTCTTCCTCCACCTCCTCTTTTGCACGTGAGTTTTCGTTTTAACATCCCTTTCTCCTCCCCGACTCCTCCCCTGCTTTGAGGAATTCAAACATTATCTTCATTAATGGAGAATTGCACCAACCCCTAGAGAAAGGGGTATTATTTTAAATTACAGGCCTTATAGCCTACCTACTTTAAAAAGACCTCTTACTTTATAACAAGGATTTGTTATCCCAGAGAAAAATTTTCTCATATAATTTTAAAATTTTCATTATAAAGTAGCAAATAGTAAGAAATAATGTAATTTTTTTCTTTAACTTTGCCTAAGGATTTTGTTTTCATTTTTTTGACTCCTAGAATCTCAATTTCCTCTAAATAAATAAAAGGGAAAGAAAATACCCAGGTAAATAACATCAAATATCCTCTTAAGTCTTATTTGTATTCAAAGACTACTAACAACTCTAGGAAACAGCAGGTTGAGGTACACAGACTAAAATGCATTTCTTACATAAATTAGTATGTAAACACAGAGAAACAGTATGATAAACATCCAAGTACCCACATTTATGTAGAATAATACAGTAACGTTACATGATCACAAAAGCACAAAAAGTGAAGGAACCTTTGAGATCTTCCAGTTAGCAGATTTCATACCTGGCTGGTCACGAGATTCCCCTGGGGAGCCTTCCCTCACAGATTTCCTAGGCCTCTTCCTGAACAGTCGGATTCAGCAGGCATGGCCTGGGACCCAGGAATTTGTATTTTTTTTCCTATAAAATTCAGTAGTCTAACCCTCTCATTATGCAGAGGAGGAAACTAAAGCTCAAGAGGGCAAGCTGTTGTCTAAGTGTACAGAACAAGTGACAGAAACAGGGCTAGAATGCAAGTCTCTCGTCCCTACTCTGCCACTTTTTCCATCACACCACACCACTTCCCAAAGCTTCCCCTACACCTGTCACCCTTACCCTTCAGCTAAGTAGCCTTTAATAGATATTCTGTCGTCAAAACTAGGTAGGGCAGGGACACATCTCATATTCCCTCTGATACAATCCTAGATACCTAGTAAGTGTCCGATAAATACTTCTTGGTTGGCAGTCACTCAGCGAAGGCCTAATACTTTATCCTCCATTCACATCTCAGTCTACAATCATCCAAGCAGATGCAAAACTATCTGGCCAGATAATTTTCAAGATCCAGCTATAGAGGTTAGTGAATCCTGAATCTATGAAGATGTCATGTTCAAACAAGCAGGAATTTGGGTGACAACACAGTTCTGTAAGATTAATGGAATCTTAATCTTCCATACTATGTCTCCCCCTTGTTCTCAAAATCTGTGAAGAAAAAAAAAAAAAAAAAAGGAATCCTAGGGATAGGAAGAACCTGGCCATTTATCTACAGTATTTGGCAAACAGCAATTTTTGAAAATCCCAAATTATTCTAAGGAGAAAATCCTTAGCAACAGTAACAACATATTTAGTTGATTTTTGTTGCTGTTTTTCCTAGTTTTCAACGTGTTTTCCTAGTCTTACAAAACATTCTTCTGTGGATGGAGTCTGACTCCTTTATAAAGCTGACAGTGAGGGATGGGGCACATTTAGCCTCTCTATATATGTTAACATTGCTCTCCTTCCCCACTCTCTCCCTCTCCACCACGCGCGCGCATACACACACATACACACACACACACACACACACTTATTTGGAGGTGAGGAATATGACATATTTTCTACTTGTAATCATGAATCATGAACCATGTTATAAATGAGATAATTCAATTATATTGTCATCTTGATTGTAGATAAGGAATAAAAGATAACCAAAAGCTTTAAAAAGTCAACAGGAAAATATTGAAGAAAACTTAAGGCTAAAAATTAAATAACCAGCAGGCACATCAGCCCCCGCGCCATGCAGCCTGGCTCCAACTATGTCCCTCCTGAGAATCCAGGCTGTGCTGAAGTGCGGAACAGGAGGGGCTACCCAGAGGGAGCCAGGACAGACAGGTGCGGGGGGAACCTTCCTGCTGCCTCATGATACTCAGAAGCAGGGAAGGACGCAGCCTCCCCAGGAACCACCAGAGCTGGCCCTGGCATCCCCTGATGAGCACTCCCTCCCCAAGTAACGTTAAAAAGACGGCAAGCGCCACCTGAAGATGTCACCAGAAATCACTTATGGATGAGGCCCTCCCAATTAAGACAGTCTCCACACCTGAAACCAGGTGTCCATCCAAACAGGTCTTCTTCAAGTCCTCTACCATGACAGCCTGGGTAGCAGAGCTTCCTCAACTTGTATTTCGTTTTAATTTCTACAGGAAAGGAACTGTCTTCTCTCTCCTTTATTTATTTTTTTTCCAACTGTTAAATCCAGTCTCACCTAGATCGTCAGCCCTCAGTATCTGCAGGGGTTTGGTTCCAGGATCCCTGCAGATACCAACATCTGAAGATGCTCGATTCCCTGATATAAAATGGTACAGAATTTGCATATAACTGACACACATCCTCCTATATATTTTAATTAAATCATCTCTAAATTACTTATAATACCTACTAAATGTAAATGCTACATAAAGAGTTCTTGTATTGTTCAGAAAATAATGACAAGAAAAAAGTCTGTACATGTTCAATACAGATACGAATTTTCAAAATCCGTATTTTATTTACGGATTTTTAAAAATATGGATTTAAAAAAAAATCATATTGTCCATTTGCAGTTGGTTGAATCCACGGATGAGAACCTGCAGATACCGAGGGCTGGCTCCATTTAGATTCCTAATCATTCCTCCAGGTAGTCAATTTTTTAAAATCACATTGACAAGCTCATTCATCCATTTCTGCATTCAACACGTATTTATTACAGGGTGACTGGACTTCTAGGCGGTCAGAGCTAGAAAAGGCCTTACAAGTCTTGTACCCCACACCCTTCATTTTACACAAGGGGGATGGGGGCAGGGCTAGCCCTAAACCCAGAGTCCCTCAGCCTCACCCCTGATCTAATAATCACCTCACCACCCCAACCAAGCACTTAGCAGTATAAAACCTTGTGCAAAATATATGTACTTTTTCATTTCAAAAATGAAAAAATTACAAGATGAGTTTTGTACCTTACTGTAATTTATAAAGCTAGTAAATATTAGCAAAATGGAATGACAAAACCAAAGAACAAAAGTGCCTTTAAAAAAGTAATCGCAGGGTTTGCAAAGATTCTTTCCACTTTTTTCACATTAAATATTTTATAAAGTCATATGCCATATACTTATGATGACTTTTCTGCCTTTCTGCACAGTTAGAAAGTCATTCAGGAAAGACAATGATACCACAAAACAACACTCAGAGAATGCACATTCCACTGCACTGACATGTATAATCTATGGTCCTAGTCTACAACATCCACTGTGGTCTAAACACACACTATGGCTATTATTAAACAAAACATCCCATTTCTACTTACTTTAGTCAGATGGAGGATGAAGCTGCTGCTAACATTTCGATGACATATCTGATTATCTCAAGTGAAACCACACTGAATTTAATGGGAGTACTGGCTGACAGATCAAACTTAAGTTCTGGACAATATTGTCTAAAGTAATAGAGGTTTAAATATCCATCTCTTCCAGGAAATTGTAATAATTCTATACGCCAAATTCATCCTTTTATGGACTGTATGTTTGTATAGGACTATTTACTTATCACTCCAATTCTTTCATCAATTTACTTTGCCCCATTCCATAAAATATTAATAGTTAAAAGCCTTAAAAAAACCTGTTAGCTGACAGTAACTACTATGAATGAAGAGCTTCAACTGCTAAATACCCTAATCCTCCAGGAAAATCACTTCAAAAATGGACATTTTGGGACAGAATCACTCATTTTTCTCAAAACCAGAACAAATAGAAAACAACACCATTAAGGGAATTTAAGTATTTTTCTGACCACTATTGCAGAAACACAGAAAAACTGAGCAGATTGTAGACATGCAAGGATCAGCAGTATATAGAAAGGATTAACAAATCAAACTCAGTACATCTTTAATAACTGGATTGAGAGTAGACTCTTAATAAAACCAAATTATTTCTTCCTCAAGGCAACCGTTAGCTACAAAGGAAAAATGATTTCATATCCTTGGTCCATAAAGAAGACACATTTATTTACATTCTCAATGGACTAAAAGAGGCTTTAAACTTTCACAATTAAAATTGTATGCTTCCAAAAATATCATATGATCAATGCACTTAACTTAAAGCTTCAGGTATTAATAACTTCATTTAGACTTCTTAAAAAACCAACACAAACATACTTTCTAGAGTGCAAAATGCTTCTTATTAAATACTTCAGGGACACAAAAGCAATTTGTTTTTAAACACAGGCATCCTTTTCTGAAGGATCATCACCACAAAGACATCCATTGCCGGCAATGGACGTGGAACAGAACTGCCAGCTTGAATAAGATGCAACGTTAGGACTCTGCCTTCAGTTTCTTCGCCTCTCCCGATGACCCCAGTTATTTGTACAAACTCATTGTTGGACTCTGGTACATGCACATATACGCATCACAAAGCAGTCTTCGCGCACAGCCTTGGATTCTTCTGGAGTCCAAGGAATGCAGGTCTTCCAGAGACATCTTCAAGTACTCTCCTACTTCTGGGCATGGGGTGACTTGAGGAATGTTGAAGCCGTTCTGACCACCTATGGCACAGAGGAAGAACTCTTTATAGGGCAGTCAAGTTCTAAACCCTTTTGCCAGTGATTTTATAATCCTATCATTTCCAAAAAGCTAATTTCAGGCTCTAAAAGCCTTTATTTTTCTTCTGATTTCTGGAAGTGAAAGCCTTCTTTAATTCTTGACATATTCTCATTTCTTGGTTTCTGAAAGGATTCTGGGTTCAACAGTGAATAAACCTGGTAAAATAAACCTGGTTCACATGAATTCTGAGGTAAGCCCCAAACCTACTTTCCAGACTTCTCTCTGTAGTCACTCAGGGAATCATGTTATCAATACACATGTAGACAACACTCCGTTCTTCACATTTCATTTCCTCCCAGACACAAGTCACCCAGCACACTTCACCAGGAGACTGTCCAATTAGGAACAGATCTAGTCAAATGAACACTACTGTAGCTCCCTACACTTGAAACACATCCTTACCCAAATCTAAGAGTTTGTCTGACACATGACCAGGCCCCGATAAAGGTGCTCTGGGGTGTGACTTCAGAGATTCCAGGAAAGGCTCCTCTGGGTTAGCTCAGTGGCTTTTCCAAACCTATGCTGTTGCGCTACGCTGTTCAGTACAAATGTTAACTGGGTTGGGGGCACATCTACAGATGGGGCTGGGATCCCTCAAGCATCAGAGAACTGAGAAAAGGTGGAGAACTCTTGGTCTAGGGCCTGGGCCTCTGTTCAAGAGGCTGCCACAGGAAATGTCTTAGGCTACTGGAGGGCCACGCCAGAAGATCGTGGGGGCTGGACCTGAGAGAGCAGCTAAAGGAAAAATACGGTGTAAGAATGAAGGAACATGAGAGTCACACCTCACAATCTTGCCCAGGCCTGGTCTTAACCTGCAAACTCCTTATAGGGAGAGGCAGGGCTGCTTTAACAAACATTTCTTACCTGAAACCCACTATCCCCCCTGGCATTCGTTAAGCATTAGTTAAATAATGATTAAGCATCCTAGAAAGTGGCCTGGCAAGTGCAGCCTATTCCCCACCTCATGGAGAAACATACTACATGCAAAAGAGGCTTTACTTTTCTAAAGAGGATGTTTGTTTACTTCTGCTGTCAGCTTTTGGCAACTGGAAGATAACATGGTTTAGTATAAAAAACATAAGCACTGAGATCAGAAAGACTGAGTTAAACACAAACTACATGACCTCAAGCACCTTAAACCTCAGCTTTAATAACAGAAAAACAGCAATAATCCCCATCTTGCCCGGATTTAGGCAGAATGACTTAATGGTGCTCAATAAACAGCTACCGTGGCTCCTACAAAAATGAGAGGGGCCTGAAGGAAGACAACAAAGCTGGAAATAAGATCCCTCAGGGCTGAAATAAGACTTCCAGGATTCTTTTTTTAAAAAAGAGCATATGCATGTCAAAATATCACAACAATATGAGGTTGGGCACACCAGCTCCTCTTGTAAGCCCAGCACTTCGGGAGGAAAAGAAGGGTGAATCACTTGAGGCCAGGAATTTGAGACCAGCCTGGGCAAAATGGCAAAAGCCCATCTCTACTAAAAATACAAAAATTAGCCAGGCATGGTGGCATATGCCTGTAGTACCAGCTACTCGGGAGGCTGAGGTGGGAGGATTGCTTGAACCTGAGAGGTGGAGGTTGCAGTTAGCTAAGATCATGCCGCTGCACTCCAGCCTGGGCAAAGGAGCGAGACTCCATCTCAAAAAAGAAAAAAAAAAACACACACACACACAATAATATTATTCCTTAGTTCGGCTAGCAAGGTTGTTAATGCGATCCAAGACATAAGACTGTTGTCACCAGAATAATCCTGAAAGGATTTTCTCGGAAAATATCATGTCACTCAGAACAGGTGATCCCACTATAAACCGTCCCCACAACAAACCAGAACCCAGTGCCACATGCAGAAGAAAGGCATTTTCAGTACCATCCCGATCGGCCATGCTGTCAAAGAAGAGCCAGGCGGAGTCGTCCTTCCCATACTTCACAAAAGCAACATAGTGGCTTGTTTCTATGCAGAGAACAGCAAATAACTCCATCTTCTGGCAAGGGATGCAGCCGTGTCTCCAGTCCCAGTCAGGTAAGTCTTTGGGAAGTGACACTGGGTTATATTTATGATTCAGCCTCTTGGGATGAAGGTGGACCTAAAATGGACCATGAAAAGAATATCATTAGGTTGAGGTGGGTGGATCACAAGGTCAGGAGTTCAAGACCAGCCTGGCCAAGATGGTGAAACCCTGCCTCTGTTAAAAATACAAAAATTAGCTGGGTGTGGTGGCGGGCACCTGTAATCCCAGCTACTCGGGAGGCTGAGGCACGATAATGGCTTGAACCCGGGAGGCAGAGGTTGCAGTGAGCCAAATCATGCCACTGCACTCCAGTCTGGGCATTAGAGCAAGACTCAGTCTTGAAAAAACAAAAACAAAAACACCCAAAAACAAACATGTCATTGATGAGCGAAACTCAACGTGCCAAGTGAATGGGCTTCCTTACTCTTGTTAAATGCATCCCTTACTCACAGTAATCAAGTACTTCACCAACAGCTCTCAGGTAAACAGAAAAGGCAAAAGCAATACCATTTTATTATGAATTTTTAACTGTTAATTATGATTTTAAAAACTTTCCAAAACCAGCATTCTGTTTTCAACTATAAATAAGTTACTGTTCAACAAAAGTTAGTCCATTAAGTGAAGGGAAACTCACTTGAGTGTTGCAGGTTTTACAAAACTGCTTGATTTTTCCAGCTGAGATGTCCGGATCGTCGTAGCATTCTCTACACTCATACATTGCAAGCCCTCCACATATCCGGCACTGTCTGGGAGCTGAAATGTGGGGAGGGGGAGGGAAGTTAAGAGGGCTTTAAAAAATGTTTTCTTTCATTAAGAAGATGTAACGAAAAGTTAGCCTGTAAAAAGGATAATGTTCATGGCTTCAAAAAAGTCTCTTTCTCTTCCATCCACTTAAGCTCTCAGTTAGTATCTGAAATATCTTTAAAAACATTTTATCAGACCAAATAATTTTTCTAAATAGTGTCTCCTAGAGTGTTTTCCCCTTCATTATAAAATGCCCATTGATGAAAATTCAAAGATACAAGAAAGTATAAAGGAGAAAACTAAAAGCATCTACAATTTCAGTTGGCAGGAGATAACCACTGTCAATATGATTATGAATTTTCTCTAATAATTTCGTATCTGAATATTTACATAAGTATATATGTGTGTGTGTGTATATATATGGCCCCTTTTGTAGAACATATCAATGTACTTACCTTTCCACTTAATATTACACCATGACCATTTTCATACACACTGGTCTTCAAAACCATGAATTTTAATGGCAGTAGTGTAATTGTCAGATACACACTCCTCTGGTTAATATTCAAGTTGTTTCTAATTTCTTAATCATATGATAATAAGTATGTTTGCATATCAAATTATTTTCATTTCTATTTTCTCAGAATAAAGTCCTAGAAATAAAATGACTGGTTTCATATTTTCCAGGCTCTTCAGATACTCAATTGCCTTGGGAAATACTGAGTCCAGTTAGAGTCTAACCCACAACTGATGGGAATTATCTGACAATTTCCACAAAACCAACAAAACAAACTAAAAAAATCTCATACTTACTGTCTTCAAGTAAATCGGTTATATTTAATTCCAGAGAAGGAAAAATTTTTTTAAATAGTTTAAAGTCTTTTCCAAATCGAGGCATCTGAATAATCAGACATGATGGTGCCTATAAAAAAGACGGATATTTTTAGAATCAAAGTGTTAAGAAAAACTTTTCCCTATGAAACCAAAATAGTCATGGCTGTCAAACAAAACAGTGAGTTCTGCCTTAATATTGGTGTCCTATGAAATAGGATCCATATGTCACCATGGGCTGTGGACACAGGACACCAACAAGCCACAGGTCTTCAAGTGGCTCATGATCGCAGGGACACACTAGCACCTCGAGGTTACGAAGTACAATAATCTCGGGTCTCAGATAAAATCATGGCATTTTATTTGGGTTTACATTTATTAAAGGTTTTGGAAAGGCTGTTTTTGCAAATATGATACAGAAAATATCATCACAGAAGGAGACTGCTCATTATATTTCAACAAATAAATAACTGTGGCTTTTCAGGTTTTATCAAAAATGATTTCAGAAATGAATACAATCAAAATAAACCACAAGCATATACTATTAAAATTATGGCGATTCTTAGACAATAAAAGAAAAATCATTTCTATCACTTGTTCTTTGGCAAATATAAATGAATTTATAGACATTTTGTCTCTTAATGAAGGGGGAAAAGTACACACTACATTTTGATGTATTTGGGTAATATGCTTGGGTAAAATGGCATTTAAAAAAACATGTCTCCTTTTGCTTTAAACTACCTAAAATTTTTCAAGTTACACAAATTAGCTTGGTGTTTTCTTTGGCAGCAGAAATCCAAAAAATTCAATCTTAATTCTAAGACATTTTCTGTAAAGGCAAAGTTGAAACACTGCATACTTTTTAAAATTTATGTTTCTTAACAGTTTGTGTTTCAAACGGTTCTCAGCTAGTTAAAATCAATAGACACTGAATCTACCAAAAGTCTTAAGACTCCCACAGACTTTCATATAAAATGCCACAGACAAGTAGCACTAACCTCTGCAAATTTCAGGTTACTGTTGATGAAAGACCATTCTAACAACTGCTGAATTGTGGGAACTCCAACTTTCTCATTTTTTTCCATAAAAATTTGATAGAAGTAACAATCTTGTACCTTTTGACCTGCTGATCTAAAAACATGCAGAGAAAAAAATACATACAACCTATTTATTAAATGCTTAAATCAAAACGTGAAGTTGTCCCAGCAGTATTT